TCGCTAGCGATCGGTTCGCTGCGTTTCCAAGCCTCATATTCATCCTCCTCGTTCTCCGTAAGCCCTGCAGGCTCAATAAAGCTGTTGATAGCGTCGTCTATATCATTGTGCCTGACTTTGGGGCGTAAGCGCGGCTTCGGTAAGCTTTTGTACTCCGCCCACAAATGTTGAAACTTGCGGTTGCTGCTCTCTAGCCAATCAGGCTTATCCGCCCACGCTGCGTCAAGGTAGCTTTTGTAGCGAGGATGAAGGATTGTAGCAGCATAGTAAGCTGGCGAGAGGTCGAGCTTGTTGTAGTACTCGCGGGCTTTAACTAGGGCAGCGCGGAGGTTGATAGCAAGGTGGTCTTCGGGTGACTCTGTATGCTCATCGTGAATGACGTCTTCATAGCTTTGCAAGCGGTCCTCATAGACTCCAAGTAAGTATTCAAATACTGGAATAACCTCAGCGATTGCTCCAAAAGCACCGCTTTTGCCGCGGCCTTCAAGCCGTTTTGTAGCTTGTTTCAGTGGCCTGAGCACATCAATATACTCAGCAATCACCTGCCAGTCATGGGCATTGATCCCATCAGACCTCATCCAATCCGGCGCTGCAGGCAGCTTGTTGTTACGACTTCGGGCGTACGCGTCTTCAGTTTCAATCTTCTGAATATGGTAGTTGGCGTACCCATTAACCGCTAATTGCAACTCAACAGCGCGCTCAAAACACGAAACGTAAGAGTTCCAGCGAGTAACAACTGGCTTGACGGGCTCCTTGATTTTGTGCTGTTCTGTTGGCGCGTTGACAGGCTGGTCCCTAATAGCGAGCTTCTGATACTTCTCAAAAAGAGCGTACTGTTGTGGTGTTTTGATGTAGTTGATAACCGCGAGAAGCACTCCTAATGGTCCATCGCCTCGCCAAGTAGCCATGTTCTCAGCTTCGTTCACGCGCTCAGTCTCCTCGTTGTCGTAGGACTCTTTCTCCTCACCCCAGAGTAGCATCTGGCCAATGAGATTAAGCGTATGAGGACCGCAGCGAAGGCGACGCTCGGTAGCGCTGAAGCCCATCTGCAAGGCGAGAGTGTTGATCGTGGTGTTGTTGTTATGTGCGTTGTCGAGGACGAAGTAACCGAGCTTGCCCACAGTGATTTCGAACTGCTTGAATATTGCCATCACGACCTCAGCCATGGCCTCGCCGGTGTGGGCACCTGTCAGTTGTGGGAGCGCAATAGGCAAGTCCCTGAGCTCGCCAGAGCTATCAACGTAGTGGGCGACGATACCTAAGTAACCGCGCTTGCCACCTTTTGTCGTCCATCCGTCAAAGCTTATATGGACTTTGCTCATTGATTCTGAAAGGCTTGCGACAACCTTTGGTAACAGGTAGTTGTACAGGCGTATAACGTATCGTGAGACGCTGTTATGAGATGCCCACAGGGCTCGTTCTGCCTCTACGCTAGCTAATTGTATCATATTGCGAAAAGACGATGATTCGAATTGTGAGAGTGGGAGGTTGTTTTCGACGAGCCAGGTGACGGCCGCAAGCCTAAACTCTTGTATATTGAAGTTGGTAAGCTCGTTGGCAACAGCCTGAGAGCAGCCCTTCTGAAGGGCGCGTTCGAGGAGAGTTTCTTTCCGAGGAGCGACGGTAGTGCGCTTACTTGGAGGCTTCAAGCCATGACCTTTCTTGTCTTCTCCGAGATGACGTGCTGGCGCTGATGGAGACTGCGAGACGTCATGTATGCCACGGCCAACAGTAGTGAACTTGTGCTTATAGCAATAGTGGCAGATCCACGTGACTTTTGCGACGTTGCTGCGCAAGGCGATGCGATAGCTATGGCTGTATACCCAGCTTGCTCGGTTCGAAAGTGATGTGGGCGGCTTGCAGTGCTTTGGGTAGCGACTCCAATTAAAGCCGTCGTATTTGTCCTCTACCCATACGAAACCCTCGTCGACAGCCTCGCTAGCTGCTCCTGAAGCTGCAACAGTGGCATGCTCGCTGCCCTCAGGTGGTGGGATGATTGTCTCTTCGGCGCGCGACTCTCGGAGGGTCGCTTCAAAATTTGGTGCTTGTGGCGCGGCGACGAGAGCTTGACGCGGCGACAGCGGTGGAGGAGGTGGAGATGGTGAGAATGGCCGAGTATCGACTAGCACAGGTTGGCTGGCAGTCCCGCGATGACGCGCTGCGACTCTAGGGCGCTTCGAAGTTGTCGCGATTTCTAGAGCATTAACGCGTGTTCTTTTTGCTGGCATTATAGCAACGGCGAGGTAGATAATAGCTGCAAATAGAGACGCGTTGATGGAGTATAGGTGAGTGTGGTGGGTGATAAGTAGTAAGTGAAGTGTCGCAGAAGGAGAATATTGTTGCCAGGCCGTTAGCCGGAAATTTAGTAGCTTATTTGCTAGAAATATAGCAAAAAAGAGTGTATTTTAGGTTATAACTAGGTTTCGAACTTACGCACTACACCTAAAAATCATCGTGAGATTGCCCCTCCACCAAGTCCTTCAGCCCCAAGTTTCCAACCGCCCCATCCAACCAAGCTAAGCAAGCTGACTGAGCGAGCGCCTATCCCTAAGCTCGCTCGGCTTGCAAGCGCGCACTGCGCGCTCAGCTCATTCGGCTTGGTCAAAACGTCCAAGCCGAGCGAGCTGAGCGAGCCGGCTCGCTCGTTGACAAGTATGCCAGCATCAGAGATATATCATGTAAATAGACCCTGATTATGGCTACATATAAGGTGGCCATGACAGCACAACAGACAACACAACACAATATACTCTGATTACTGCCTCGCGCGGTTACACTTTGATTGACTGCATTCACTGCAACACTATGTGTACGGTTCACCCACTCCAACATGAGTTGAAGCAACAATGCTAGACAGAACGCTGAAATGCGCTTAGCACGGACAGAAATTGATTCGACAGACGGTAACAGGTGGGAGTATTGACTTAGTATTGATATCATCACTCATACCTACTTCTGTCTTGTCGAGACGCGGTGAGAGCCTTCACTAGTATTCACGGTGAATCAGGCTTCCCGTGCTCTGATTGGCCAGGCACTGATTAGTCAGCTGCTCCGTGCGCGCACCATAGATATTCTCCCTCCTCCCGTAGCTCCAATACAACAAGTCCACACACGTTTCTCCACCTTCATCAGCACCGCGGCCCAACATCTGTCTAAGCACAGCATGTTCATGCATAAGGGCCCACCAAATGAGCCGGAAGCTCACGGCACCTTGATATGACCATGCATAAGGGCCGTGCTTTTGAATACAGAACCGGACCGAGGGCTACCCTGTAACGAGCTTCCCAACGCCTGGCTCGGCTCAACGCCCGATTTAGATACTCAAACAGTAATGAAACTTGCGGCTATAGGGCCTCTTACAATGGCCATTATCACATAACTTTCTAGTATAGGTAGGCGTCTATACAGCTTGGGATGATACATAGCCACCCGAATCTAGCGGGAGGGGTAATCGAATGTTACAAACGAACAAGAGATGCCCCTGGAGAGTGCAAGAAGCTCGGTTGGTGGCTAACCGACGCAAGGAACGAAAGAGATGATCGGCGCGGTGCGCTAGGATCACGTGACTGCTGCCACGCCAAGGCGGAACCTAAGGGGGATGGCAACTGCCACTGGCAGGGGTAGATATCAGTGATGCCAGGCCTCAGCCGTGATGGTCACAGAACAGAGCCAACAAGTATGTAGATGTGGAGGACTGTCTTTGTGCGCTTGTTGTAGTCTATTCTCATGCCTAGGTTCTTGCCTTAGCCAGATTGATACTTAGTTATTCTATCGCTTACATAGAACTTGATTGTTAAGACCAAACATCTGCTACCCCGCATCGTCGCCAGACAACCCACGCGAAGCTTCAACATTAAGTCTTACCTGCCTTGGCGCGAGCCAGGATTACAAGAGCAGTATAGCCCCCTCCGTGTAAAGTCTACTCAGGCACCGTGGCGTGACCGAAGAGACCCCGGGACTACATAGCTGCTGCTGCACTAGTGATTAGCGCACGAGCTTCTGCTCCTGTTGTGGGTAGAGAGCCTGTCGATTTTGAGCCTTGTGGCTACATGAAGTTGATACACATTGATGCCTTCGCATGAGTGTTGTACTCTCAACACCATATCTTTTTGCAATCTACGTATAGCTAACCTTCTCACCAGGCTTTCAGAATTGAATGACTGCAAGCGCAGCCCTAGTTGGTTTTATATTTATCGAGTTATGCTGTCTCAAAGTCGGGTAGCTGTTTGGCTGGAGCGCGCGCTTCGGGGCGAAACCCGGTAAGTCTGGGAATGGCAGAGCGTTTTCCGGGACAATCCTAGTATTGCTATGTGCTGGAACAGCGATAGCTGCTGCAACGGGCTTACTGTACATTAGAGTTTGGAGGAACGGCTCAGACCTTGTCGTAAGCTCTGATGCGTTGATGATGACGTGATGCCATTGTATCCGAGCCCCTTATTAGAAATCGAATCAAACTAATCATGATTGTGTAATAACTACAAGCGTTTAGTCTCTATATCTCGAGTCTCTACACAATGAAGTACATATGCTAAGGGTGGTGAATGTGCTGTCTTGTGTCATTGAACAAAACTCTCTAAGCTGTAGGTTTATACATGCCGAGAAACAGACCAAGTTATCTGGGCATGTCCATCTAACTGTACAAGTCGTCATTAGCTTACAACTGTGCCACCATATCTGATATGGGATCTTGGTAGATACTGGAATAACCACCTTGTTACAGTACGTACACTCTGATGCACTGGCAGTTTCCGCTTTTTGCATGCCACCTAGCTTTTATCCCGCGTAATCCATCGTCTAGCCTAGTGCACACTTGCCCAGAAGGTCATAGGCTCTACAGGTGTTAAGTTTCGATCGGTCCGGAACATTCGCGGATGAACGACTGAAGGCATTGCTGACAAGAGCTAGCGCTATTCGGATAAGATCATGGTCAGACGAGAGAGGCTTAGCGTGAGATGAGAGATTTATTGCTTGCAAGATCCGGAAGCCAGACTCCGCAACAATCAATCGATTGACATGATTGATTCCTATATAGGTTAAAGAATTACTTCATTAGGCAGCCTTTAACCTAGATAGGAATCAATCATGCCGATCCGATTGATTGTTGCGGCTTCCGGCGGAAGCCGCAATGTACCGTAACAAATAGCCTGTAGATCTAATCTTACATACGTCCGGAACTTCCGTGATGTCGGCCCTGCTATATCGCTTGCCGCCGACTCGTACTGGTACGGCCCTAGTAGAGTAGCGTGCGTCTTGAACAATCATAGCAGTCGTTGAAGGACTTTTGCACCACTTGGTGTTGTAGCCATCATTTGCTGTTTTGGCTGAGATAAAGGCGAAGCTCTATATGTCGCGTGCTATGTGCTGATACGTGGATCACATGGCAACAAGAGCTCCCTCTTCGAGCGGTCCGAAATACATCCGTGATGCTGGAGATTTTGTATGCCAATTAACGTCCGTCCCTCTGCGACGAGAAACCCGGTGGTCCGAGAACAACTAATGAGAGCGCAAGGATGGCAGGTTTTACAACATAGCGTTGTGTCTCATTGGCTGTTCTCAGCCTACCGGGTTTCTCGTCGCAGAGGGACGGAAGTTACCTTTGCTTTCACCCTGTCCTTGACACGGGCCTTTGGACAATTCTGGACATCAAAGAACCTACCCTGTTAGGGCCGTAAAACGGCCCTTCTGATTATTACGAGCCGCATGTTGTCAGACTCTATATGACGCGTCCCCGCATTAGCTTTAGAGCAACATGATTGGACCATGTTAGCCTCGAGGCGGTACTTAGGCTGAGGGTGCTAGATTGATGATACTCAATCTTGTCTCTGACAAAAGATCTACTTTCCATGTATTACAGATGCCATGAGTTCTCAAGCAACCGCTTCTCGTACAAAACTCACTCGCCGGAGAGGTGCATGTCAAGAATGTCGCCTGAAGAAGGTTCGGTGTGCGTTGCACTGCTTCCCACCCTGGAAAATATATACTAAGGCCACTATGATAGGTAACGGAGAACGCCCATGCCAAGGCTGCAAAGTAATGAATTACTTAGTATAAACTACTGCTGAAAGCTGATGGTAACATAGAAAACCACGACTGCGTGTGTCTACATGCATACCCGACGCTTACAGGGCTCTCGAGGCTCCATAGATGGTTCAATCACACCTAGTCATGACATCCTCCCCAGTGTAACTTCGCCCTTACACTCAACGGACAATGTAATGACGCCAATCTCTCTTGACTTGTTCAATTTCATCCATCAGGACTACACAGATCATCGAAGCGGACTTACTATATCCAGCCCGGGAGAAGGCCCAGCACAGGGGGTTTCTCAAGAAACGCCTCGCTATCTAGATACTGGCTTATTTAATCAATCCTTTCTGAATGCGGCAATTCGAGAAGGTAGGTCTGCTTATATATTTACTATGTTGCATCTCCTTCTTAACAACATACCAGACTCCGCAACAATCAATCGATCGACATGATTGATTCCTATATAGGTTAAAGAGTTACTTTATTAGGCAGCCTTTAACCTAGATAGGAATCAATCATGCCGATCCGATTGATTGTTGCGGAGTCTGCAACATACCTCTTTATGCTGGCTACGTCATGCTGTACGACCCGAGATGTATCAATGAAGCAGCACTAACACTTGAAAGAAGAAAGCCGCACGCAACAGATCAGCTTGTCGAGCCAGGTGTTACAATCCAGTCACGAAAGCAACGATGATACGGCCGCTTTCGAGAATATCCCAAGCCTGCCTATACACCAAGACAGCGGAGTTGACTTAAACAACCTGATGAAAGATGCTTTGAATGAGCAGTTCATTCTCCCGTGTTTCCCAAGTCTGGCATCGCGAGTCCTAGCAGAACCCGTCAATGTTAGTAGTTCTTTGCAGACGTGAAGCACAACAATGCTAATCTAGGACTAAGGATATCCCGGCTCCGAGTGGGTGCGACATTACTGCTGCTATTCAATCCTCAAATCTAGGAGACTCTAGGAAGCAAGCAGTGTTAGGAAAGATCAGCAAGTTACTTTCATTCGATTGTCAAATATGTCTTCCGTTGTTCTGGAGAAGCGTTAGTGGTGAGAAAGAACGCCTAGCTCCAGACATGAGGAACCCAGAGATCAGTACATGGCTTCAAAGTACGTCTATAATTGTATACACTATATTAGTTAGCTGACCAGGCCAAGAAGCTTTCCAGGAGCCCGGAGGGTAGGTCTACTAGGATTCACGATCCAAATACAATCTAACATAAAGTAGTTTAAACGCTTTCCTGAGCATACACCAGATCCTCCACATACACAGAACAGTTCTGGGCTCTCCGCAAACCTCTATCTACGTCTCCGAGTTATCTTTACTTCTAGTTGCAATAACTTGGGGGGCCTTGCTTGACACAAGCTTTGACAACTCTGCTAAAGCGGCTCTTGCAGATGCTATTACGGAGATGATAAAACTTCTACTTGGACAACCCAATACTATCAACAAGTTTCTTGTACGTGAACCATGAGAGCCCTTCATGTCTCTGCTAAACCATTTTAGGCTCTTGTTGCTATGGTTCGTGGAAAGCTAAGAGATATGATGCAAGCTATCTAACACGTCCAGCTTTGCCTTGCCGAAACAATGGGCCTGGAAGACGAACATGCGCTAATCCTAGGGTGTGTTGGGACAGCAGGTTCTTTGAAGCTGCATATGGGACCTGTAGTGCGTAGTTCTTGCTACAATAACGAGCAGGTCGGCCAGGTGGAGAAAGCTTTGCGGATGCTCTACTGTATCGATAAGTCCTATGCATTAAGGTGGAAAACGATTCCGGTGAGTATACTTTCGATGGTAAGAGAGCTACAGATCGATGAGTACTGACAGGGATAGCTCCTTAGCAAAGACTCTCTCCCAAGAGCGGATACAGGAAATAATCTGCCCCTTGGCAAAGATTCATCGGTAGTATCAGTTGAGCTTTTGCATGCCCGGACCCAGTATGCGCACATGTGTTTGCAGATAGTAGAATTGCGCAAAGTTGTCCAAGAGGCTACATCTGATTACTTGCTGGCAAAGATTACGGAGCTGGCGACTGCATTAGACAACTGGCACAAATCGATCACAGAGAACGCAGTTATACCGTCACTAGAAGAGGAGGCAGCTAGACGTGTTGGACATCAGGCTTTCTGCCAGTATCATGAGGCATTGCTTCACCTGGTAAGCATTTACCCGCGAAACCAACATGGTCGCTCCGATTTGCTGCACCAAAATTACCAGATGGTACGTCAGCGATCTATGCGGGATGTTGTAATTTCGTGCGATACGATTTCGTTGAACGATCTGCTTCAAGACCAGTAAGCATTAACAGATCCGAGGAATACTTGAAGTACCGAGTCTAATTGTTGCCCAGGAACTACATTTTTACAAGCGTTCTCGCATTCTGTTTGCTTGCCCAGGATTTGCTGCTGAGCCAAGATATGGAATTGAGAAGAGAGAACCAAGCCTTACTTAGCGTTGCTTCTGGACTCTTTGCTCGGATACATATTATGTATCCAAGAAGTTCCATCTTTGAAGAAGTTTCTGGTCTGCTGGCCATCATAAATGATAGGTGAACCTGTTTACATAGGATCTATTCCATGTTAACGCTGTCATATGCCAAACATGGTAACTATTGGGTGAATAGCCAAAAGTGCCAAAAGTGCTTTACAAGTGAGCCACGCATACCGAGTCTATGCACTGATCGAGCCGCCCAGCCAAAATCAGAGCCTCAGCAAAATGAGGTTGTAGGGCCACGTACAAAAGTTTTTATCGCGAGATTCTTTGATGTTGCAGTAATAAGATGCAAGCAATCAAGTTGTGCTAATTTGTTTACCCGGTAACTTGATTTGACGTCTGCGCGTTGTTGTTTTGACTAGAGGTTGTGGCGGCGGAGATGCAACGACACTACTACTTGTAGCAACTGCGCCGCAAATCTCCTTGCGCTGCTGAAGCTCTAGAGATTTACTCTTCACGCTGTGCCTGTATACAGTTGAAAGCGTAGTGCAGAGGCCTTCGTTTTCGTGGTAGAGGAGCTCATTTTGGACCTGCATCGAGTACAATGAAGCGCTCAGCCACTTGGCTTCAACTTTGACGGCATTCTTGACAACAGCATCAAATAAATTGCGCAGCTGATCCCAGGTATTGCCGTCACCGTGCTCTTCAATATCTAAGTCCTCGTCTTGTTGTGGTGTTGTAGTTTTGAACCGCCGCAGTACGGCGTCAGCAGAGGGCGGCGCGACGCCTGTAGCTTCAAAGGCTTTGAGTATGTTACCGCGCATAAACGTGGAGTTGTATGAGACCCCAAAAACAAGAAAGGTCGCTTTTCTTGACGGGTATAAGCCTTGGCTGCGTTGAAGATGCCGAGAAAGCTCGCGAAAGCGGCGCAAATATTATGGCATCTAACGGCTGTAGGGTATGAGTTAGATACGGTGGAAATACCACCAAAAGGATCTTGTTCGCGTCGCAATGTTCGATAGACTCCGTGTTGAGGTAGCTGCCATGGCCTTCAAGGATGATGGTACGATAACTCACCCGCGCTTTGCTTTTCATATAGCGATCAAACACCTGTTCAAGCCAGGCCAACCTGACCTCGTTTTTTTTTCAGCCTTTCGGTGATGTAGCAAATAACAGGGTGTTTTCGAAAATCTACGTCGTGCGCAACCAGGTGCTGCGAAGGCCGGCCTTTCCTTCAAAGATTACGGCTAGCTGTCACGCCTCCCCATCAACACAAATACATGCCAGATTTGTCACCCACCCCCTGTTGCCATCTTGCAAAGCCGCCTTGATCTTCTTTTGCTGCTAAAGCTGTTTTGCTTACATCCTTTGGAGGCCTCGTTCATTCCTAGCATATTCTTGCTAGGCCGCTCGGTATGGCGGGCCGCTCGGTGGTGAAACACGTTACGCATCTTCAGAGGTCCAATTTTCGGGTGAATTGCCGCGTGGCTCGCTGGCTTAGGTGGCTTGTCTGGATGACTCGCTCGGGTGTCAACCGCGTTAGCATTTTATCCGCGATACCCGTATCCGAAGTTCAATCCCAGCTTGAATTCGGACTAGTTCGTATTATCTAGCTCGGCCTCCCAACGGTTAGGTTTCTAGCTTCTCAAATCTTCCTACCGGAAAACGGCTGCAGCTTGATATGAGAGTGATTAGCGGCCGAACAACAAGGTACAGGGTCTAGGTTGAGGTGTTCCGTGGACCATTCATAACAATGATCCCTCCCAAAATCACGGCTACTGCGTCACATAGAATCCGGCCTCCTATTTGGTTCAATCGCAAAACGTCAAACAGACACAAGCAACTATTTATCTGTTCCTATCCATTTGTCTGCTACGACAATGATCTCGGACGCTCTAACACAGCATACTGATCCACTCTACCAAAGGGATGGTCAACTTTCCGCTCACAAAACGAGCATATCTTCCATCCAGCTACTCTCCTATCTCCCGCCGGAAATACAATGTTTATTCAAGCCATTGTTAGAAAGGGAATCTTACATTTTAACCACTGTTTCCACGATATTCCACCCCCAGGGCGGCGGCCAACCCTCTGATACGGGTATCATTATCCTGGCAGACCAGGCAGACATGCAATTCCGCGTGCAGCAAGTGCGCAAGATTGGTCCCACGATCCTGCACATGGGGATCTTTGACCCTATTGAGAAGATCTTTGAGAGATATAGCGAAGTGGAACAGAGGATTGATGTTGAGAAAAGGGTGATACATTCGCGAATCCACACAGGCGGCCATGTTGTCGGGCTTGCAGTCAACCAACTGATCGCCTCCGGAAGCCTTCCCCTGAATCTCGTCGATGGTAAAGCCTCACATTACCCAGGGGCTTCGTTCGTCGAGTTCACTGGCTTGATTCCTGCTGAAGCTAAAGCCGCGATTCAAGCAAAAGTAGACGAATTAATCGTCCAGGATTTGGATGTTAAGATCCATATTTGGAGCGAAGAGAAGGCGCGAAGCAGTTGTACAAGGACGAATGATCTGCTTAGAAGCGATGAGAAAGGTGTTCGGGTTGTAGAAATCGGGGGTGCGGGTAGCTATCCTTGTGGGGGGACTCATGTCTTGAGGTTGAGTGAGTGTGGGAGGGTGTTGGTTAGAGGTATCAAGAGGCAAAAGGGGGTAAGCAAGATTAGTTACGAGCTACAGGATGCCTAAAATTTTCATGTGCAACAGCAATTCCGTTTAGTAACGCATTATTAATCTAGATGCACAATGTGTCAAAGCCGTATAGCTACATATACCTATACTATTTATGTATTTTCCCTCCGTACGTAGCGAACAACCCGGTAAGCCGAAAAAAAATCAATAAAAACGCAAGGTTAGTAGATATCTCGACCCTACATAGTGACACGTTAGCTGTTTTTGACCAACTATGGTTCGCCATATAGGGACGATTAAGTTTAAATTAGACTTAGAACGCAAGCACAAGCTAGGTATAGTAACAAGATTATACAAAACGCATCTTCTTATTATCTGTCATGGATCAAACCCGCGACCTCTAGTAAGCGAGGTGGCCCGTGCGCCTTAAGCGAAGGCCACAGCCGAACACCAAAGTTCGACCCGCGCAGGTCTTCGAACCTGCACGCAATATCTCACTTAGTACTTAATACAGATACGGTCATCTCAACTATTGACGTCCCTCACACTATATTGCGTCTACCATACGGTACCTAGGACACGCGCGGAAAGTGACCGCACCGAAGAACTCAGCGCGCAATCAGTATTGCTCGTGACAGCAACCCCGCAACCCCGCGGCTGAGACGGCGACAACTCGTCCCCCATCTTCGGTCACAGACCCGCATCAGGATAGCTCGCGCGCCGCCAACTGGGACTTTGAGGCTCTGTTATACGACTGCGGAGTGGAACTCAATTGTCATTGGCCCTCGTACGCGCGCGATACAAGCTATTGTGCTGACAGCGGAAGGCGTGTTGTGCTGGAAGCCCATCATCGAAGGACGTTGCCAGTACCGCGTCGCGATTGAGAGTATCGCGATTGCACTGGAACGATTGCGACGGTATCGCATCACCTTGGTGACTGGTAGACGGTTTGGCTCACCGCTTTACTTCGAGCAAGGAGTCAGGAGTGTGACAGCAAATAATCAGCTGTGCTCCCCGCCCACATTTGACGCACTCTCTCACAATCATAACCACTCTCTTTCTCCACCTACATTAACCACACCCAACACCTTAAATGTTTAGAACTATCAACGCCATTAGCGACAACGTCTCTACCGGCGGCCGCCACCCCCGCCGATCTAGCGACATGCAGCCTCCTCCACAGCCCAGCGTGACTGACTTCCCTATTGGCCGCAAGAAGCGCAAAGACAAAGCGCCCGCGACCCCCCGCAGCCAAGACTCCAGCCGCGAGCGACCTAAGGATACTGCATCCGACACCCAACAAACTATTAGCCAAGGCCCCGCTCCTAAGCATGAGCCTGTTCGTCGATCCGAACCAGGCCGTCGAAGCACCTTCGGCTACCCCGCACTTCCAGTTACAGAAGGAGACAGCCAAGAGCCCACAATGGTACCACACGACCCTGCCGACATCTACGATGTTATAGTTGGCAGTTGTCGACTCCAATCCCTCAGAAACAAGAACGTCTTGTCTGCCAAGATTACTCACTCTGAGTTCACGTTCATCACTATTGTACAAAACGAGACTGAGGATGAATTTGAGCTGTACCTAGGCCGAGAATCTCCCCTGGAAGAATTCCAAGTCCCCGTCTGCACTGACGACGACTTATTGGAGCTAGCCACTTCAAACACCGCGTTCCTGCGCTCTCTAGCTATTGAGCTCATGAAGTTCGCCGCTGCTTGCGCTCCTATCCTGGACGCGAACATCGATGCAATAACCAAGGAAGCTCACGAAGCCGCTGTTAACCGCTTACGCCTTCGCATCACTAAGGCTGAAGCTAAGCTTAGCTGGTACGAGAAGGAAGTCTCAAAGCTGACTGAGACTATTGAGACTACTAATGCTGAGTTGGAACACACCAACCGAGAGCGTAATGAGCTTAAGCTAGAGGTCGAGCGCTTTTATCGTCCTTCATCCTCCAAGACCGCCGGTTGCACTAACCCTACTCACCAAGACTGGTATGAGGACTGGAAACACGAAGAAGCGCAGTCCATTAAGTTCCACGGCCTGTACGAGGAGTTCTTCAGGAAGCACCAGGAAGAGCGCGCCCGCGCAGACCGCTATCACCAGCAGCGCGCAGAACGCGACGCCGACTACGAAGATGTGGTCGCCCAGAACTGCGCACTTGAAGAACAACTTGTCCAAGCTACTGAGAATACCCGCAAGCTAGAGACCTCTCTAACTCAGCAACAGCGTGAGTACAATGACGTTGTTGCGCGCCTTCAGCGATATGATCATAACTTCCGCCCGTACACCTTGCAGCGTCGCGAGGACCGCGGTCGTAACAGTCATCTATCTACTCAGCGCAACCGACGACACGAGTCACCTGAGCGCCGTACAGATCGCCGCACTGCATCACCTAACCCGTATCCTAGCCGACAAGCCACTCCTGTTGTTACTCGGCCTGCGCCTCGCCCTCGCGGCGACTCTCACTCAAGATCGCGCTCCCGCTCCCGCCGAGATCGCGCGAATCCGTTGAACCAAGATCCTCACCGATATATCCCTCCTCCATACAACGGCCAGCAATCAGTACAACAGGCAGCGTCCACAGTTGGAGGTCTAAGCCTTTCCTTTAAGCTCCCCGACATTGAAGTCTGGAAAGGCAACGATGATACCAAGAACTACGACAAGTGGCGTCGGTCAGCCATCCAGAAGTGCGAATCTCTGCCTGAAGACAAGCAATTGGCCTACTTGGAGATGAAGGTGGACGGCGCAGCATGGCAATATATTGACGATCTCAAGTTCGAACACTACTTGGACCTTCTTGAAGGACTGGACCCATACTACGCGCGCTCTACCTACGAGAAGGTCTCAGAAGCACAGTCGCAACTCGCTGATGGCTCTCTCAAGATGGGATCGTCTGAATCCTTTGCAGATTGGCGTGGGCGCTTTATGAGCGTGTGTCGCCTAGTGAAGCTTCCAGACAGCGCCATGATTGGCTACGCTCGCGCTTTCCTGCGACCTGGCCTCGCCGCCGCCGCCTCACACGCCTTTGACGATGAGCAAGAGAATGCTCTTGTCAAGTTCCTTGACGCCGCCCGCAAGTCTGATCTAACACAGAAACAGATTAATCAAGGCAAGACCGCTGCTGACAAACCTCGCACCAAGCCGCGCACGCGCTCCCCAAATGATCGTAATCCTG